AGTAGTCTCTATAACCACCAGATACGTTCTATGAGGTATTCGTGTGACTGTGCTCTGAGGGAGGGAGTTTATGGACGAACAACCCAAAAAAAAAAAAAACCCTCTTCATCGAGTGAACCGAATGGGGGCAGACAGGAAGAGTCCCTCGAACACCTTTTCTGGGAGTGCCCCGCCTCCAAACGTATCTGGCAGTGGTGGGAACGACACTGGCTCAACTTCGTGGGGAACCTGCTTCTATGGGACAAGGCCTGGGCTCTCCATGGATGCATTCCCAGTACCTGGTTTCAACGAACCGGAAGAGGCTATGTTGCCCAAGTGATCCGCACCATCATTATCTGGATTATCTGGGAAGATCGCAACAACGTCCTCTTCCGGCAGCAATGGACCAGCGACAGTGCCATCATCAGCAAAATCAAGGCCTGGATCAGAACTATGATCCGAGTAGATTGGATAAGAAAGGCGCATAGGGGACGCAGACCGAGAAGCAGGTGATGGTTCCTGGTGACATGGGCAAGGGACAACAGGCTTGCTGCAGTGACCCTCGATGGCCAATTGGTCATCACCCCCTGGCTCTCGTCCTGAATGCCTACCCTCCCCCCTCCTCCTTGTCCCTCCTCTCCATCCTTTCCTCCTTACTTCAAACCAGGGTACTCGGTTTCGGTGGGCAGCCGCAGTAGGCTGCATGGGAGGGAGGGAGGAGAGTGCCACCCCCCCCACATGGACAAGGTCCGCCCGTTGAAACTACCGGGCCAGACCGAAGTAGGTCTGTTCAAGCCCCCCCATTTGGTAGCAGTAGTAAGCAGGTCATATTAGATCCCCCTATCCCCCGCCCTACCCCCCCCGGCCCCACCCTGTCCCCTGCCTGACCCCCTTCCCACTTAGTAATAGTGGTGATAGTTAACTTTAGACTTTCCCTATCCACCCCTGCTGCCCTCCTGATCCCACTCTGCCCCCTTTACGAACTCCCTTGACCCCCTCCCAACCCCCATAGCCCAAGGCTTGGATAGTGGCTAGGATATATAAAGTGCTGTTGAAGTAGAGCTTAGCTCCTCCAGCTTATTGAGACACAGAGGATAGCACTAGAAGTAACAGGAGAATAGACACGTAAGCACTCAGAATCATCGGTATAAGTCAGCCCAGAGGTACTCCGGGTCCACCAGGTCCCGTCAAAAGCGAAACTGGCTAATGCTGCCAGAGGCCATTGCCCGGGTTGAATTGTGGGAACCCCAGTCCCAATCTTTCTTTTGTAATCAAGCAAGACCTTTTTT